ACCGAAGGCCCCAGTGGGGGTGTTTGCATGCGTCCCCCTACCCAGGGCAGCGTTTCGTGGCCCCATATAGGGAGCTCCACCGAAGGCCCCAGTGGCGCAGTTCGCATGCGGTTCCCCCACCCAGGGCAGCGTTTCGTGGCCCCATAGGGAGCTCCACCGAAGGCCCCAGTGGGGGTGTTCGCATGCGGTTCCCCCACCCAGGGCAGCGTTTCGTGGCCCCATAGGGAGCTCCACCGAAGGCCCCAGTGGGGGTGTTCGCATGCGGTTCCCCCACCCAGGGCAGCGTTTCGTGGCCCCATAGGGAGCTCCACCGGAGGCCCCAGTGGCTGCCCTCGCATGCGGTTCCCCCACCCAGGGCAGCGCTTCGTGGCCCCATGGGGAGCTCCACCGAAAGCCCCCGTGGCGCAGTTCGCATGCGCTTCCCCCACCCAGGGCAGCGTTTCGTGGCACCATAGGGAGCTCCACCGAAGGCCCCAGTGGCGCAGTTCGCATGCGGTTCCCCCACCCAGGGCAGCGTTTCGTAGCCCCATAGGGAGCTCCACCGAAGGCCCGCCCCGGTGGCGCAGTCCGCATGCGGTTCCCCCTATCCAAGGCAGCGCTTCGTGGCCCCATATGGAGCCCCACCGAAAGCGGCACCCACAACGCGTTACCAACAATTGCTTATGGTTGGGTCTTTCGCCAGGATAATGTTTTTAAGCTCCTTGGAAAGCTTTTTTGGGGGCCTTGGGGGTCTGTATGTTGGCATTCGGAAACATCGTGGGCGTGTTTTCGGGGGCCTCGTGGGCCGTTTTGGCGCCTTCATGGGCCGTCCTGGGGCCTTCGTGGGCCGTCTTGGGGAGCTTGGGCCCGCTGGAGCCCCCGTTGGACCCATCTTGGGCACTTCCGGGGACCTCCCATGGCCCTTTTGGGTCTGTGCTGGGAGCCCTTGGGGGGCCTCTTGGGCCCATTTTGGGCTGTCTTGGGGCTCTCGTTGGGCGATCGTGGGGTCCGGCTCGGCCGTCTTGAATCTTTCTTGGGGGCCTCTTGGGGCGTCTGGAGGTGATCTCGGGGGCTTTGAAGCCGTCTTGGAAGCTGATGCAAGCCGAAAGGCGAATATGCAAAAATTGCACGTTTGACAAAGGGAATGGGACGGTTTTTGCGTTTTGAGAGCATCTTGGGAAGCTTTTTGGGGTGCCTTGGGGGTCTTTTGGGCCGTCCTGAAGCAATTGGAGTCCCTCTTGGAGCGCTCTTGTGCTGTCTGGGGCCTCCCTTGAGCCTCTCTGATGACCCCTCTGATCGCTCTGGGTCTGCTGGCAAGGCGTTTGTGGAGGCCCGGAAAGCTGGGTGACTTTTTCCAAGGACGTCCCAGGGAGCCCGAAGACCCCAGATCCCGGGGATCCAGTTTTTTTTTGGGGGGGGGTGATGGTTTTTCCCCCCCCCGGGCTTGTAAAAATATAGGAAGAGGAATACGTATATGTATCAAAAGCCACGGCTGACGCCACCGTCAAATTAAGATAGCCATGCCCGCCAGGGATGGTCAACTCAAACACCGATCACCGAGACCTAACTCCTGTTGTCACTGAAACGCAAATTTTATAACAATTCATTAACATCTCACTTCGCGTTTCTTGATGTTGATGGAGTCTCACAAGAAACGGAAAAAGCACTGACGAGTGCACGATGTCCGGAGCCCTCGGAGTGCAACCTCTGAGTCAACCGTTGTGACCTCCCTCAGCGATGCATGCTGGAGGCTTCTTGCGGTGCGGGCCTTCTTGGGTCCTCTTGGGGGGCCCTTCGGGCCCTCTTTGGGCAATCTTGGCGGCATGTTGGGGGACCCTCGGGGTCGATGGTTCCGTCGAGCTCTCCCGAAGGCTCGTCGGTTGAATCAACTTAGGGGCGTAAGGGCAGGCTTTGGGACGACTTCGAGCTCGTGGGCGGTCTCAGAGGGTTCTCAAAGGGGGCTTTCTTGTGGCAACTTTGGGCCGTCTTGGGGGCTTATTGCGGCTCTCTGAAGCTCTTCCGGGACGATCTGGCGTTGACCAGCCTAAAAATCAAGGCGCAGATTGTACCTGCTAATATTGAAGCGCTGTTCGCAATTGAACTTAGCTGAAGGCCTCGTCGTGCATGCAACTTCTAGGAACCCGTTGAACCATTTTTGGACGGTCATGGGGCGTCTTGCGGTCGCTTTGGGGCGATCTTTGGCCGTCAGGTAGTCGTCGAAGACGTCGAGAAAAACGCGGGGGTCAACACCAAGGTGGGACCGCGTTCTTGCGGAACGGTTGCCCCGAGGGGAGGGGGGGGAGGGTCAGTAGGATACAAGCCCCTCTTAACTCCGTTCAACATCACGCCACATAACTCACAGCTTACGCAACATAGCTTGCAGAGCATAGCTTGCACCACATAGCGCACATCGCATAGCTTACACACCACATATGCCATCTCCACAATGCAATAACACACTGGTTGGGAGCCGCGCTGGCTAACGTTTGTATTTGCTTGCTGTTTCTGGTGGTCAACGTTTCTGTAACGCCCAGGACGGCCTCAAAAAATCCTCCACGGCTGAGCCACGGCCGCCCCGAGGACGCAAGGTGGCCCAAGAGAGCCCCAAGACGGCCCTGAAGGGCCCCAAGAAGTCCCCGAGGCGGCCCAGAGGCCTCTCAGACGGCTCCCGAAGGCGCCAGATGGCACAAGAGCGCCCTAAGACGGGCCAGAAGAAACCGAAGAAGACCTGAGAGAACACCAGGAGGCCTCCAAGAAGGCCCGAAGGCCCGAAAAGAGCCCAACAGCAACTCTAAGGACGACCCCAGAAGATTCCTCTCCAATGTTCCCTCGGGTGATACGCGGTCCACTAGCATTACCGTGCCGACGCCCGACATTCCACCACACAATCGTTGCCAAAGGTAGGGGGCGGCAGTGCCTTCCTTCCTCTCAGCACTCAGTCTGAAACATGCCTGTCGCACCCTAGGCTGGGCTGTGCAGGAACGTAGAGCGTCTGAGGCTGACCCAGGTAAGCATCCTCGCGCGTATTTGGGAGAGCTCTTGTTTCTGTAGAAACTGCGGAGCTCGTGTGCGGGCCTCCATGTCGCAGCATTCGACCTGACCAGTCCACACCGCATCGCATCCCAAGGCGTGGTGCCCTCCTCACGAGGTGCGCAGCGGCCACAAGAGAGACGGACCGCTGCGAGCTACAGCGGCGCAGAGCAACCCAGGTGCTGCTACAGACTCGACGGCGTGGACTCTGCAAGCCGGCGGCCTCGCAGTGGGAGCGGCTTCGATCTCGCGTGGAGACGTGAGGGCCGTTTCCGAAGACCCGATGCGGCGGCAGGGCGGCTGGCCGTGTGAGGCCAGCGGAAGAAGAAAGGCGACCGAGCTATCAGCGCATGTTGAGGTGCAGTCGAGGCGTCGACCTCAGGAACCCCAAATAAGGAACGAGGCCCCTGTTTTCCATAAGCTGAACTTCGATTTCGTATCGAACACCTAGAGGAAATCCAAGGCAAACTGCGAAACAATTGAGGAACACGGAGCCCCTCCCCAACGAAAACGGTTCCTTCTTCAGGGCCCCGACTGTATCGGGGGCGCTTTGGGGTAAGAGCCTCGGTTCCTCCCTTCCCCCGCTAATCATAATCGATCCTCTCCTCCTGTTACCCCTCCGGACTCCATCCCCCCTCGCGCGCGCGCACGCGGACATGCGCGCATGCGCGAGCGTGCGCCCTCCCACCCACGCGCACGCACACGCGCACACCCATTCGCCTGCATCCACCCACCCACACACCCACGCACAGACGCGGCGTTACGACACACGTGGCAGGGCGTGGAAGCCACGGGCCCCGCTGGAGAGCGAGGCGCGAATGCAATGCTTAGCCCCCCGCCCGCATCTCTTACCCTTCCCCCTCCTATCGACACCCCTAAAGCCACAAACGGGGCGTCGCTCCAGAGCCCCATTTCTAAGAGGGAAGGCGCTCCAGCACCTCCTGCTGCAAGCCCGGGTGCGTTCCGGCCTTCATGCTTTACACGGGCCGCCCCTTCTTCGGCCACGCCTCCCCCCTTCTCCTCCTCTTGCTTGGTGGCACAATTCGCTTTAACTCAGAGCGTGAATAACCTCCCCCGCTTTCGCTTCCAGGCAAAACCAAGCCATACCACGCGCCTCCTCGTCAAGCGGCCTGACCAGTACAGGCCGCAATTTGGCCTCGTTTGGTATCTCTTGGAAGCGAGGGTGGTCAAAAGCGAGGGAGGTTTGTTTTCCCCCTATTAACGGCATCCCCGCTTAGGCATCCCATCGCCAGCGCAGACGTCCCCTGACCAGCCGCCGACGCTACATGTTTTACAAGGGGCCCACGGCGGGCGCTCCAGCACCGCATGTTTACGAGGGGCAAAGATTCCGCAGCCCACGGCCTGCGTGGCGGCGCGAACGTTCCAGCACTCCACGGCGTGCGCTCCCTCACTGCAGCTGAGACCGAGCGTTCAAACCTCGGTCTCACCAAGCGCAGACGAACCCACCTAGTCAAGCATTTCGTTAGCAGGATGCTCCACTGACTGTAGTCAATCGTCCTCCTAGACCCGAGACGGCCTTTTCAAGACAGTGCGCCTGCTGGCCGCTAACCTGGTGGGACGACCAAGGTATGAAACTGCTTCCCTCTAACACAGACTCCTGCAACATGTTCCAGGTACCTGAAACGAAACACTGCAGATCATATCTCAGTAGCCGATGTGTGCTTCATGTGCTTTGTTTTCAATGGTGCTGCGCGCACTGTGTGTGGAGCGGATGTGGTGCGCTACGAGGCGATCACAAGCCCCCTCGTCGAACATGTCCAACTCAACCCTTGCGCATCTTCTGGGATCTTCTCTCCGAGGAAGCCCATCGACAAGTTATGATGGTTCGGCGCCAGATCCACTTGGGATCTGGAGGGGATTGTCTATAAACGGCGACCGAGGAACAAAACGTCGTTGGATCGGAGGTAACACCTGGGCAAGAACATCAATGCTTACTTCTCGCGTATGCCGTGTGCGAAGCAGAGAGCCACACTCCTTCTTCTCCAGCATCTTCTTGACGAACTCCTCACAATGAGCACTGCGCTGCAACTCTGGCGAGGCGCAAGGATACACCGAAGGCGGGCAAACATGGTGATCAAGCACGAATGGATGGAAGGGGGACGTCAGCCGCCCCAGGATTGAGGAAGACAATCTAACGTTGCAGCAGCCAGCGTCCAGGACAGGCACTCCGTCGAACGCACGTGGGCGGCCCTCGCACGAGGGATGACCCGGGAGAAGCAGAGCCGCGCGACACCCGGGCGGGGCAGGACTAGCGGGGACGGTGGCGTGGCGAGCGCCCGGGCAGCAATGAGCCACGCAGGCGCCCACCGCCAACCCCTCCCCAACTGCCGGCGAGCACTGCCCCAGTCCGCCTCCGCCTCCGCCGTCGCCCGCTGCCCCCATCCGTTCGCCATCGCTCGGACGTCCATTCCCTGTGCATTGTTCTGTCTCTTGCGCGCATCGTGTCGCAAGGTGAACGACGAGTGCTCCTCGACGGTCCCTGCCGAGAAAAAAAATACGTCCGAGCGCTGCCAACTTCGCCGTCCACTGCCCACGACCACGGGCGCTCTCGGCATCTGCCGCGCCCGCCCGCCACGCCCCCGCCCGAGATCCGCTCCCGCAAAATCCGCTCCCGCCGCCGCCCGCCCGAGACTGTCCCGGCCGCCCCCGCCCACGCCGCAACTGTGCCTCGGCGCTTCTGCCGCTGCTGCCCGCCGCCGACCCAGGCGGTCCGCGGCAGTGTCGTCGTCGTCGCTGTCGACGTCCTCGTCGTCGTTGTCGTCAACGTCGTCGTCGTCGTCGTCGTCCTCGTCGTCCCCGTCCTCATCGTCCTCGTCGTCAGCGTCGGCGTTGGCGTCAGCGTCGTCGTCGTCGCCGTCGTCTTCGGCAGCGACCCGCAGGCCCCCTGGCAAGCCAGCCGCAGGCACGCCGTGCCAGGGCGGCCCCTGCCTCTTGCCGGGGGATTGGGCGGCGGGGCGGCGGCGTCTCCTCGCAGCGGGCGTGGACCTTCGCGGGTGTGCTTCGCGGGTGTGCTGCGTGCTTGCGACGTGGTCTGCTCCCATGCCCCCTGCGGCTGTCGTGCAACAGTCCCTCGCTGTACGCCGCAGCCCCCTCGACACCAGACACCAGACACAAAGGACACCAGACACGAGGGGGGGGGGAGGCGGCGGGGTCTCGTCGCAGCGGTGGTGGACCCTCTTCGGGATCTTCACCTCCTTCGTCCGGATGTCGGCCTCGGCGGGCGCTCGGGGGAGAGGCGGCGGCGGCGGAGGCGTGCCCCGCCCGCGGAGGGCCCTGCCACGGCCTGGCCGGCAGCCTCATCGGCGCGGGCTGTGAGCGCACCGAAGTCAACTGAACACACGCATGCACACACACACACACGCACAAGCACAGACACGGGCACACCCGCAAAACCAAACACACAAACACAAGCACAAATACACACACAAACACACACACACGCTTCGCACATTTCAACTATCGAGGACCCCGACCATGATTGGTGTTGGCCAAACCGCACCCGGATCTGACAAAGACCGACACCCCGGAGCCGAGGGTGCACATGCGCGAGGGGACTGGACTGCGGCCTGTCGTAGTCGTCGTCGTCGTCGGTGTTGTTCGGCGGGTGCTGCGGAGAAAAAAGTATGTTCAACGGTGGGGCACCAGTCCGTAAGACAATAAGATTCAAAATACTGGGGGTGCTCTACAGACCGAACCCGGTGATGCTGAACGAGCCGCAATGAATTACACGGCCCTGAGCACGAAAAGGCATCCGCGTGCGCACGGAACCTTCAGGCTGCAAGGAGAGCGACACTGGCGAATCCAGCCGACTGCATAAGCAAGTCAAGCAAGACGCCACACACAACGCGAGTCCCGTATGAGACGATTACACCATACATTGAGCACTGGTAAGCGAAAAATCTGGCCTGCGAGCCCATGATGCAGGAACCCAGATATCCCACGATTTGTCCATCCACTACATGTTTCCTGGGCTGACTGTACTGAATGCCACTGAACTACGCGATTGACTATTATTCGGAAGGGGCGCCTGCGCGTTGCTCGCTATTGCGATGTACCTCTGTACTGTGTGGCCGGAGTGCGACGGGACAGAGACACATATACATCTGTATACATACATAGAGAGAGAGAAATAAAGAAAGAAAGAGAAATGGAGAGAGCGAAAGAGAGAGAGAGAGAGAGAGAAAAAAAAAAAAAAGGAGAGGGAACGATACACACATATGTAAATATACACACGTATGTACATATAGGGTCTAGAATCATCGCGCGCGCTTCGCGCGCGCTCAAGTTCTAGCCAGGCATGATGGGCTAAATCATGGAATATCATGTTTGTCACTTCTTGCATCCACGGACTCTCTTGGAGCCCCTGCGCAAGCCTCGGAACCGTAAAGGAGGGAGCGTCGGGGGAGGGGTTTTGCGAATTACGTGGTGTTTCCGGTTCGGCCTACGGGAGCCGAGGGCTGGGAATGTTCGTTCGGCCCCCGCCTGGACCGATGGGCTCTCGGGGTCGTCTTTCCGGCTTCCTGGATGCTGCTCGAGGCCTCTCGGGGGCCTCTTGGGCTCTCTTTGGGGCCTTTTGGGGCATCCTCGGAGCATCCTGGACTCCTTCTTGAAGTCGTCATGGGACCTTCTTGGCATGTCTTCGGGGGTACAAAAAATTTCGAAGACTTTTGCGCGCCGTCTTGGGGCCTCTTGGAGCCTCTTTTGGATTTCTCGGGGACCTCTTGGGGCCTCTTGGGGGCCTCCTGGGGCCTCTTGGGGGCTTCTTTGGGGCCTCTTGGGGGCATCTTGGGGCGGAGAGCTTGATTTATCAGTTCGCGTTCCCTCTCTCGGGCCCCTCTGGCGGCCTTCTTGGGACCCTCTTGCGCCGTCTTGGGCGGCTCTGGGGCCGTCTCGGGGCTCTCTTGGGCCGTCTTGAGGCCCTCTTGGGGGCCTCTTGGGCCGTCTTGGAACAGTTTCGGGAGCCTCTTGGGCGGTGCTTTAGCGCCGGAAACACGAAACAGCGATAATGCAACTACTCCGACGGAAGGACCCCGCACGATCATCTGTTTAGCTTGCCCTTATCCATTTCCACCTGGCCATGGCAAACACCCTCCTCTCGCCCCCCCCTCTGCCCTCTTTCCTTCCTTCTTCTATGTCTCCCCCTCCCCCTCCTTCACTTCCTCCTCCTCCTCTTCCTTCTCCACCTCCTCCTCATCATCGCCCTCCCCCTACCCCTTCCCCACTCCCCATCTTCCTCCTGCGGCTTCTCTATGTGCACCTCCCCTTCCCCCTGGTCGGGACAAGCAAGTCGATTTTCCTCGGCGCCGTCGCCGCCTCGGCCAGCACGCGCGCGTTCGCCGACGGCTAGATCGCGAAGCCTTTGGGGCGACCCCGCGGGCCATGCCTTTGGGACAATCCGGCGGGCCGCTGGGGCGCGAGGGCAGGCCGTCGGGACAACCCCGCGGGCCAGGACAACCCCGCGGGCCTCAAGCTGCGCGCCGCGGCGCTCAGGCGGGAGGCAGCACGAAGCCAAGCTCCGGGGCGAGTTGCTCGGCCTCGTCCCTGGAGGTCTTCGCTTTCTCATCGAACTCCCCGGGCGCCTTCCGCAAGGACGCTGGCGGCCCAGGAGGTCGCGCCGCGCGCCCGATTCAGCCGACGATGAAATACCCCCGCCAGCCCGGAGACAAGGGGTTCCCCCTGCCCCCGATTCGGCCGACGATGGGTTACCACCGCCAACCCGGAGACAAGGGGTTACCCCTGCCCCCGATTCGGCCGACGATGGGTTCCCACCGCCAGCCCGGAGACAAGGGGTTACCGCTGCCCCCGATTCGGCCGAGGATGGGTTACCACCCCCAGCCCGGACTCAAGAGGCTACCCTTGCGCCCGATTCGGCCGCCGATGGGTTACCACCGGCGGCCCGGAGACAACGGGTTACCCCTGCCCCCGATTCGGCCGAGGATGGGTTACCACCCCCGGCCCGGACACAAGGGGCTACCCCTGCGCCCGGCCGCTGTCTCGTCGTCGTCGTCGTCAGCACCTCAGCTTAAGTTTTGGCCCAAAAGGCGGGAGCCGTAGGGAGGGGGCTCCCGTCTGAGATTGCCTCACAATTCACTCACAGACGAGGTTCCCGCTTGATACTTGAGGAGCCCAAAAAAAAACGACAGTTACACGTTTCGGATGACCCGCTCGGATTGCCAACATTAAATGCGGGACCCATAGGAAAGGGGTTCCCGCCTGAAACTTCCTCACAATTCACTCGCAGACGGGGCTCCCGCTTGATACTTCCCCCAAATTCAAACCTGAGGCACCCAAAAATGACGACAACTACACGTTTCGGATGACCCGCTCGGATTACCAACATTACATGCGGGACCCACAGGAAAGGGGCTCCCGCCTGAGACTTTCTCACAACTCACTCACAGACGAGGCTCCCGCTTAATACTTTCTCCAAGTTCAAGCCTGAGGAGCCCACCCAACAGTGACGACAGTTCCACGTTCTGGATGACCCGTTCGGATTACCTACATGAAATGCGGGACCCATAGGGAGGGGGTTCCCGCCTGAGACTTCCTCACAATTCACTCACAGACGAAGCTCCCGCTTGATACTTCCCCAGAATTCAAGCCTGAGGAGCCAAAAAAACACTCCATTTACACGTTTCGGAGGACCCGCTCGGAATATTAACATTAAATGCGGGACCCATAGGGAGGGGGCTCCCGCCTGAGACTTCCTCACAATTCACTCACAGACGAAGCTCCCGCTTGAGACTTTATCCATATTCAAGCTAGGGGGTTGAGTGGTGACGAAGTGATGAGTGAGTGAGTCAGTGAGTGAGTGAGTGAGTGAGTTGGTGAGTGAGTGAGTGAGTGAGTGATGATGATGATGATGATGATGATGAGTGAGTGGGTGGTCGAGTGATGATGATGGTGGCGGTGATGAGGATGATGACGATGACGATGACGATGACGATGACGATGACGATGATGATGATGATGATGATGATGATGATGATGATGATGATGATGAGTGGTGGTGCTGATTGATGATGATGATGGTGATGATGGATGTGATAATGATGATGGTTGATCGAATGATGATGATGTTGTTGATGATGAGGATGAGAATGGTGTCAGTGTGAAAGAGTGTAATGATTATGACGATGGTGACGATGATGAGGATGATGATGAGTAGTGACGATGAGTGGTGATGATGATGAGCATGACGATGGTGAATGAAGGGGAGAGGGGTGGGAGGTGAGGTGAGGTGAGGTTCCTGCGCGAGGTGTCCAGAGAAAACAAGAACCCCAATTTGGAGATGTGGACAGAACATTGAAAAACACATGCAAATCAACGATTTTGCCTTCTCGGGGCGCTCTTGGGCAGAATCTTAAAGGCCCCTTGGGGCGTCTTGGGGGGTTCCGGGGCAGTTTAAAACGCATCGTGCATCGCCAGAGACCCCTGGACGGCGTCTTGCGGGTGTCTCGAGACCGTCTGGGGCCGCCGGGACTGCTGTCAGATGGCTACCTGGGGCGATTCTAAGCCTCCGAAAGGCGGGCCCGGGCCCTGGTGCCCTCATTTGCGGTCGAGGTTCCGGCCCTCGGCCCCCGTGCCCGGTGCGCCGTTATGTGTATATATATATAACAAAATGAAAGAAACAGACAGGGAGAAATAGAGAGAGAGGCAGCGAAAAAGAGAGAGAGAGAGAGGAGAGGGAGAGAGACGCAGGGCAGACAGGTCTGGGAGGAAACGGAGCGCCAGGAAGCCTGGCAAGGAGACAAAGGTCGGAGCAACCTTGCACAGGAATATAATCGAGCTTTCGCTTTCTCTGAAGCTCAGGCACTGCAATAACACATGGGCAAGCTTTGACTCGGCACGCACGAGCCTTGGTGGTGATGCCATGAAAACTGCAATGAATTGTTTGCTTTTATATTGCTTAGGGCCTGCACCGCGTGAGGCGCGTGGACGCAGTGGCTGTGGCGCGGCTGCGATGCGACCACGGTCCCTTGTAGCGATAAGGCGGCTTCGATGCGTCGGGGGGCAAGCCTGATGCTACGATTGCGCCAGCGCGCATCTGCCGAATGGCAACTACGGAGTGCGGGGTTCGTAGACACGGCCATGTGGTGGGCACGGTGCATGGCGAGCCCAGCTGTGCTGTCCGAAAGTGACTCGTGCAGTTCCGGACCTCCCCGGACCTGCGTGTAAGTATGCGGCTTCGGGGCGCCTCCCAAAGCTGCAC